GCACTGTGGCCTCTTCCTTCCTGGCCAGCTGCCTCTCAGGCCACTACCCTGCACGGTGGGGCAAGGAACACTATGAAATTCCACAAGTGAGTCATAGCCAGACACTCAAGGACTCTTTGCCCGGATTCCAAAGTGTCAGCAGCAATGCCTATGGCCCAGGGACTCTGGGCCCCACAACAGTTTGCTCAATGGCTGTGGAAAACAGGGCAGCCCCCACACAGAGTCCGGGACACGCGGACTGCCCAGTCCCTTGGGCAGCCGGCTCCTCTTACCTCAAATTGCGGCCAGTTCATGGACATGCCGGGCCCGTGGTTGGCCCTGAACCACCTCAGGTCCTCTACGGCATCCGCAGCTTTGATGTTCTGCTCCATATCTCGATAGATGTTCTTGTAGCTAAATCAAAGAGACATGTGTGAGGCTGAGGAGGTAGGAAGAGTCTAATGATCTATCCTCGCAGGAACCGTGGACCTGAAGCCACGGGCACTGGTCCACGGACGCAGACCAGAATGCTGTCTGCACGTTTGGTGGGCGGTCAGCTGGCTGGGACGGCACAGGGGTGGACAAAGGCAGTAACCACGGTGTGGGAGCCCCACTTTAAGTCTAACCAGGTGGCCATAGGTGAGCTTTGCTCTGCGTCAGGGAACACAAGAAACATTGGCAGATGAGATCAGGAGAAAGGGATGGTGCCAGGTCACAAATAGTGAAAAACCAGCTCACGCTGTATAGAACTCTGATCAAAAGACGGGAACTACAGAACAGAACTTCAAATTTCCATGGGAAGTCAGACTTCCTGGAGCCACAGAGGCTGGATGAACCCACTCCTCTGGAACAACTGCTCTGAAATCACCTTTAAGCCATAACCAAAAGCATCCCCTGAGGTCCTCCTAAAATGTTCACTGTGTAACAGAGACCTGGCCCGAGACCTCAGTGAGAAGTCAGTGGCACAGGTCAGCGGGCAGCACTGCAGCTGACCACTGACAGGCAGCAGGAACATGGCTCAGGACACTAGGCAGTAGGAGCCTGGCACAGGCCGGCAGGCAGCACTGCGGCCAACCACTGATGGGCAGTCGGAACATGGCGCAGGCCAGCACGAACGTGGCTCAGGCCAGGAGGCATCTACTGCCCCAGGCTTCAGCTTCTCCTGCACACAAGGTCTGCTAAAGGGTCAGCCGAGAGTGGGAGCAGAGTTCAGCCTGTGGAATGAGGGATGGAGGTAGCTGGGGGGTGGGGGTGGGGGCAGCAGGGGCCGTCAGAACAGTGGGGACACTTTCCGGAAGACATGGTCTTCCAAGTCATGTCGTCCTTCCCCCTCAACTCCCCCAAGCAACACCGGGCTTCAGCAGACCAGCAGGAGTGTTTAATAACAACGGGAAGACTGAAAATGCAGCACGATCCCACCACTACCAAGGTGCCCCCGCCTCACAGCAGCCCTACAGGGCTCCAAGGCTCGCATCATTCCCGAGCGGCTTCGAACCGCTGGCCTTCGGGTTAACCGCTGCCCCGCCCGTGCTCCCTGCCCGAAGGTCCCTGCACAGGTGACAGGACAGCACCTGCGTTGTGCGGAGCATGCCTCCACCGGGCCCGCTCAGCTGAGGGCACGCACCTGGCCACGGTGGAAAGGTCCAGGTGCTTCCGGACCTCCAGCAGGACCTCCCGGAAGAAGCGCAGCCGCTTCTCCTCGAACTGCTGGCACTGCTCGAACACCTGCTCCATGTTCTCCATGTACTGCGGCGTGCTCTGGTCCAGCTCCTTCAGCGACTTCTCGTACTTCTCCTTGGTCTACAAGGAAACGCAGGAGCCAGCGGGGTTACTCTCCACGTGGCCCCCAGCCGCCACGGGCGAGTCCGGGTCTGGGGAGGACGCACGCGGGCTCCTCAGAGGTATGCTGAGGTCCAGGGGCCTGAGCGAGGACGGGGTGAAGCCTGGCACGCTGGTTCACACTGGGGTCTGTGTGCCCCTGCTTTCAATGGTGTGGGAGCCACGGCAGGGCTGAGCAGAGGGTGCCAACTGGGGCGGGCAGTGCCAGGGTATAGTGACATTTCAAAACGGCCACCTGGGCCAGCCCATGGGAACCCAGGCACCTGCTGTGAGTAGACGGTGGTGGGCACACGGGGGTGGTGGGCATGTGGAAGTCCCAGTCCTGGATCAGCTCCCTATTTCACAACCAGAGGCCTCACGTGCTCACACCCTGAGGGTCTCCCCTCACTGGGCTCTCAGGGCCCCTGGACGTGAAACGTGACACCGCCAAGTGTGGAGCAGTCATCAGCAGCCCCTGCCAGCTGTCTGACTAGAACACAGTGGTCTGACAGGACGCGGCCCCTGCCTCCTCTGGTCACTGTGCACTCCAGTCTCCTCACCTCTGGCTCACTGTCATTCGTGTGTCTATACTCAAGGTTGTTTGATTCTGATAAACTCGCTTCCTAATAGACCAATGCTGAGCACGTTACACTCATTCACCGACCGACAAGACGCATGCACTCTACGTCTCCTCTTACAAGACGCCTCTGCGGGCCCATCTTTTCCGGGGAACCTTCTGTTTCTGGTGCTGCCATATGTGTGTCTCTTCCCCCTGGTCTATGCCTGAGAGGTTCCCTCTGCAGCCACTAAAATGGAGCCTCTGAGACTGTGTTCTCATCCCCGCTGCCTACTCTCCGCTTAAAGGACAGGCTGTGTGCTTCCCCTCTCCAGCCCGCACCGCTGAGTTTCCTCTCTCACTCACTCTTAGCTCTGCAGTCACTCCACACCTTTGAAACAGCCCGCGAGTGTACCGGCCCTCAGCAGCGGCACTGAACACGGCAGTAAGGTGCGGGGGCAGCCCCCTCCTCACAGCAGGCCCTGTGGGCACCCAGGACGCTCGCTCCGAGTTGTCCCCGGTGGCTGCAGCTGCTCCGGGCCCTGCTAGTCCCTCCTCCACATCTGCCTCATTGGCATCTGCTGAACTTCAAAGCCAAGCTGGTCACTTGGAATAACTCAGGGAGGACACAGCCCAGCGAGGCGCTGTAACTCAGCACCCAAGGGTCCCAGGGGCGCCCTGACCTCACTGGGGTGCTCAGCCCGTCTGCCCCTCAGCTTGCAGCCTAGAGGCCTCACACCTTTGCCTGGGAAGGGTGGTGTGGGGAGTATGCTCTCTGACCTTAATTTTCTCACTCATAAAGCAGAGGTGACACCCCTAACTCAGAGGGGCAGCGAAGCCCTCCAGACGCCTGCTGCCCTGTGACACCCCTAACACCCTCTTCCCTTCGCCAAGCAGAGACAGGGGGAGCCCTGAGTTCCAACACAACCTCCTGGTCCCCCACAACAAACCAAGATGGGGCCAACTGGGACCCCTTACAACCTTTCAAATGGCAACAAGACAGGTAGGTCTAGTTTTCAAATCCAGGGACTCTGGAACTTTCCAGGCAAATGACTTCCTGCACCTGTGAGCACTTGACAGCTTATAGTGTGCTTGCACAGAACCTGTCACCTGACCTCACAAGCCCCCTGCAAGTGGGGGAATCGTCCCACGGAGGAGGGTCCACTGCCTGGTCACTGTCTCCCTGGCCAAGGCCACCACCTACTGTGCGCAGTGCAATGTCTCAGCCCAGTTCCGCCTTCCAGCCTTTGAGTTCCTGAGAACATATGCATTGGGCTTTCTGGCCATGCTCACCTGGCCTCTACCTTCAGCTTCGTTACTGGGCATCAGAGCCGACACGGCAGTGCGTCCCAGCACAACACGGCAGATTCCTGGGCCCCTATTCTCCCTCTGCTCAGAGCACTGCTTGTCAACCACCTGATCTCCACCTGGCGTCCACCTGCAGGACTCCAGGTCCTCCTCCAGTGGCCCTGCCACCGCATCCCTACTCATCATGCGTCCAGCTTGTAAGCCGGCCGAGGCACTGGGCCAGGGGACACAGTACTTTTCTGCAGCTTGCTGTGACACTCCACCTCCCTTCTCCCACAGGAGCCCTGTGCCCCCCACTGCTCCATCCACCCCCGTCCCTGTCACCCCTCACTGGGCCCATCACCCGGTCCCTGCATTCTCAGTACTCGTTCCTGCACTGAGCTGTGAGGTGGACACCACAGCCTGGGTGGTCTTCAGTTATTCAGCCACCCAGCCACCCAAGCACCTGCAAGGTGCTACCTGTGAGCCAGACATGAGCACGTGACGTGTTTAAGTGCAACAGAGAAAAGGCAATGCAGAGTGCAGCTCACCCCACAGAGGGACGCTGCCTGTGGCTGGTGCAGCTCACCACAGGGAGGGACTCCATCACCACAGGGAGGGACACTGCCTCTGGCCGTGAAGCTCTCCAAGGGGAGGGGACGCTGCCTGTGGCCGTGCAGCTCACCTTGAGAACATCCTGTTTGCATTTCTCTACTTTGTCTTGCAATTTCTTCAGCTGCTCGGGGTTGAGGGACGGGTCGGCCTTGCTGTTGCTCTCGCGGGATATCGCCAGCTTCTCCTCCTTACAGGCTGCATGGTAAGCTTTCTTGGCGGTTTCCACCTATGAGAGCAAGTTCCCCAGCGTCTCATTCCTGAAGGTTCTCGTGAGACACTCCCTGGACCACAGGGAACTCGGGCTAGGGGCTCCAGGTTCCCAGGACACAGGAGATGCTGCGTTATCAAGACAGAGGGGCAAGGACACAGGCTAGTGGACATCAGCCTGAGCGCCACGGGACAACAGGGTACAGTTTGGCCTTGTGAGAGTCACTCTCCTCAAGAATGGGGGGTGTGTGTGTCCCCAGTCACGTGTTTGAGGCAGGGGGCAGGAAGACAGAAAGGGGAGACAACAAAAAGCTAGGAAACAGAGGACAGAAGGCAGAGACTTACAGCCCTAGGAGTTACAGCCCCAGAAGTTACAGCCCTGGGTCTTTACAACCCTGGGTCCTTACAGCCCTGAGTCTTTACAGCCCTGGGAGTTACCTGAAGGTCCCTTTGGGCTAGGAGAGGAGTGCTATGAGTGATTAAGAACTTGGGTTTTGAGTGCAACCAATGGTGCCTGTGAGCCTCAGAGTCTATGTGAAACAGGCAGTGATGAGGACTGTGGAGGGGGCACATCAAGTCCTGTCTGGCTAAAGTTGTACACCTGGGGCTCCTGGCTGTGGGGGGCCCTCCTCTGGTGGTTGTGGGGGGCCCTCCTCTGGTGGTTG